TCGGCACAGACAGGCACAGATCACGTTATTACAGTGTTAAAGATGGAAAAAGAAACGAGGCTGAATTAATTTGTAATTGTCTTAATATTCAGCTAGTAGGTGGCAGAGTTAAAACCCAAATCTGTGTTAGCTCTGTAACACCTTGCTACCTCATACGTTCTCACCAATGAGAAGTGAATTTACTCCTACTGAAGGAAAGAATATTTAGTACACAATAGGAGGTAATTTGCTAAATTATATTAACAGTAGCAGTGTCTTCCAGCAGTGTTTCAGACTGTAAACTGCTTAACTGGTCTTTTTGAAGGTGCTTTGAGGAGTTCGGGGTATCTCTAGAATGTTTGTGTTTTCTTTAATGAGGCTGGCATGAAGCATATAAAATAAGTTAAATAGCATTAAGCAACACACCAGATCTGGCCCACTTTGCACTGCTTCTATTCCCTCCATCTTCTCATAGCCTCTGGCCACCACAATATCTTTTAATGTTATATTTCCGTGAACTTTAAAAACCCTCCCCTATAGGTGTCACACGTATTTTCTGAATATCTCAAGGTTTGGTGTTCTGAAAACTAGAGAAGGTAATTTGGATGCTAAGTATGTGGATAGTCTGAAAGCTCAGTGAAGTCCCAGTTCGAGACATCATTTATATACGTAGTACGTCAGTTGGAAAGAAGAGAAGGCTGACAGATTAAAATTTTAATTTAAAAAAGTCCTTTCCCTTAGAGAGGGAAAGGCTTTCCATTGTCTTAATGGAAAGCAATTGACAAAAAGTTTAACCATTGTCTGATGAAAATACAAAAATCCTTTATCTAATTAAATTCTGTTCATACCAAAAAGTTTACAAAAAGGGATTAGTAATAGTGCTTATGAATAAAAAAACAGAAATTGTGTATGAATGTGTCTGCTAGAAATTATAAAAGTCTTGTTTTCGTGAATGAAATTTGGTGACTTTAAAGGTTTCATTTTAATTCAAATGCTTTTTGTTTTTCTTTCTTCTTTTTTTTTTAAAGATCATTTTATTGGGGACTCTTACAGCTCTTATAACAATCCATACATCAAGTGTATCAAGCATATTTGTACTTAGGTTGCCATCATTACTTTCTAAACATTTACATTCTATTTGAGCCCTCGGTATGCTTTTTGTTTTCCTCATGTCGACTGCTTGTGAGCAGATAGGTGGTTGTGAAGCTATCGACTCATGAAAATCCTGGCAGTCATTTTAAGTAGGAGCCGGCAACGTGGTCCCCAAATTTATCAGGAAATGCAAAGGACATTGAATAGCAAGAATCATCTTGAGAAAGAACAAAGCAGGAGGAGTAATGTACCTGACTGGGTGATTTACTCTCAAGCTATTGTAATCCAGACAGCTTGGGACTGGCCAAAAAAACGGGACCGTGGAATAATAGATCCGTGGAATACTAACTAGAGTTCAAAAATAGATTGACAATCAATCGTATGATCAGATTTGACCAGGATATTTGTGTAGTGGATATTTATGTAGCGGTTAAAAAGAACTTTTGTGCCACAAAATTAACTTAGGAAGAATTAGGATCTAGACGGAAAATCCAAAACATCACAGCTTCTAAGGGTTAACGTAAGAGACCTATGAACCTATCTTAAATAGGGCATAGCAACCACGATCAGAAGAAATTGGACTTTGTGAAAAATAACCTCTGCTTACCAGACACCATTAAACGAAACAGGCAAGCCACCGACTGTGAGAAAATATGTGTAATATCTATAGGGGAGGGTTTTTAAAAGTTCACGGGAATATAAAATTAAAAGATAGTGAACTCCACATACTTTTGAGGCCCCTTTGCATTTGACATACAGATTATATGTACAATATATAGGGTTTTGACAATTGAATAAAAAGAAAGACAACTCACATGTTTAAATGATCCAAATGATATGAACAAGGTCTTCACAAAAGAAAACATACAATGACTGTTAAGCACATTAAAAGTTTCATCATTAGTAATCAGTATAACAAAATGAGATGCCACTGTACACTCATTAGACTGAAATGAGTTAGATGAGCAACACCAAATGATGGGGAGGATGTGGGGCTCTCATACGTTGTTGGTAGGGGTATGAAATTGTGCAACCAAGGAATTGGTACCAGATCTCCAAAACAGAAACAAACAAACCCAACTCACTCCCATTGGGTTGCTACTGACGCATAGTGACCCCATAGGATGGCGTAGAATGTCCCTCTGAGTCTCTTAGACTGTAACTCTTTACAGGAGTAGAAAGCCCTGTCTGTCTCCCATGGAGCGCACTGGCCCTTGGAATGCGCTGGTAGTTTTGAACTGGTGATCTTGCAGCTCACAGCCCAGAGTGTAACCACTGCCACCAGAACTCCATTAGCAATTCTACCCATGGGTAATGTAGCTGGAGAAATGAAAAACATGCATTTTTTAAAAAGTCGTGTCCACAAATGTTTGTGGTAGCTTTTTGGATATTGGTTCAAAATACGTAAGCTCAGGTATCCACTGACAGAAGAATTGACAACCTGGTATATTCTCACGGTAGAACACTACTTGGCTATAAAAAGAACAAAATACCAATACAGGATGACGTGGATGAGTTTCAGTTGTTTGTTTTTTCAATCAGGCACAAAGCACTGTATTTCGTATGACTGCATTTATATGCATGTGTGGAATGGCTAAAACTAATCATTGGTGTTAGAAATCAGGTTGTAGTTATTTAAAAAAAAATCAGATGGGGATTGGTGCTTACTGAGAAAAGGACACAGGGTCTATAGGATGGTAGAAAAGCCCTGTCTTTTCAGAGGGACGCGGCTACCTGAGCATACTCCCCATCTGTCAACTGTAGACTTAAGACCTGTAGAAGGGAGCTTCCAAAGGTTTGTGGGAAAATATCATTGGAAGATAATGGAATTTTCCCACAAACTTTTTGAAGTCCCTCATAAGTGTAATAACCTCTAACATGAAAAGTCATTTTTAGAAAAGGGAATAATCATGAAAGAAGTGTAATTCGGAGCCTCCTTGTATCCTCTTCAATCTCTAATGATTAGAAGCAGAAGAACCGTGAAGAGTTTGCCTTCTAAAGTGACCTGTTGCTTGGACTCTATGGCTTCTCACTCCTCAGCAAACGTTGCTCAAAGTATCACATAATACTGTTTGAGGTGCTCCACGGATCACTGGATAGCTTCTAAGAAGTCTGCTTTTGAAACCTTTTTGAGATGTCAGCGAAGAGTAAAAGCAGATGATAATCTAAGACTGTGTCCCAGGATCAATGGCAAAGCGTCACTTTATGCAAATGTGCATATTTTAAAGTAGATGAGTTTTGGTCATTGACCCTAGTTTTGAATTTATTTGCACTAGATTACTTGGCAAAAGATTGGCAGTTCACCTCCCC